AAGCTGCCCTGCAGCCCCCCGATTAACCCCTCCCCCGGATGGCAGCCTACGGCAAGTGCAGCTGGGCTGATGGCTGAGTACTGTGATGTGCCAAGTGTGGGCACTCAGGGCACTCCAAGCCAGGACTGCTTTGCAAGCGGGGAACCCTGAGAACTGTCTGTCCGGGGTGGGGGTCGGGTCCCTTTAAGCACAGCCCTCGGCTAGCCTGAGGCAGCAGCTCCACACTCTAAGTCCTAACTTGATGCCCTGTGGGCACTAGTTCCGGCCAGCCTTAACTTCGTTTCAGGGTCCACTCAATGTGAACATGCTATTTCAAATTAGCAAAATGCTAATTCTAATTAGTTTTTAGGTCTAGATGCACTAATTCAATTAGCTTTTTTCGAATTAACTAATTCTAATTAAGTTAGTTCGAATTAGTGCTGTAGTGTAGACATATCCTTAGAGACTAACAAAAGAAAGAAAGACCAGGGACAAAAGAAAGAAAGACCAGCAGATCAGGGACACGGGGAGCAGAGCTGCAGCGGCAAAGTCTCAGAGGCACGGGACCCCGCCGCGGCTGCGGCTACATGTCCACACCAAGACCCGGAGCACAGTGTGCTCGGAGCTGTACAAGCTGAACAAGAGAAAGCCCCTGCCTCAATTATGTTCCACCAATTTATTCCAATATTTGACCACCCTGACAGTTAGGAATTTTTTCCTAATGTCCAATCTAAACCTCCCCTGCTGCACTTTAAGCCCATTACTCCTTGTCCTGTCCTCAGAAACCAAGAGGAACAAATTTTCTCCTTCCTCCTTGTGACACCCTTTTAGATATTTGAAAACCGCTATCATGTCCCCCCTTAATCTTCTTTTTTCCAAACTAAACAAGCCCAGTTCATGAAGCCTGGCTTCATAGGTCATGTTCTCTAGACCTTTAATCATTCTTGTTGCTCTTCTCTGTACCCTTTCCAATTTCTCCACATCTTTCTTGAAATGTGGCGCCCAGAACTGGACACAGTACTCCAGCTGAGGCCTAACTAGTGCAGAGTAGAGCGGCAGAATGACTTCACGAGTTTTGCTTACAACACACCTGTTGATACAACCTAGAATCATATTTGCTTTTTTTGCAACAGCATCACACTGTTGACTCATATTCAACTTGTGGTCCACTATGACCCCTAGATCCCTTTCTGCCATGCTCCTTCCTAGACAGTCGCTTCCCATCTTGTATGTATGGAACTGATTGTTCCTTCCTAAGTGGAGCACTTTGCATTTCTCTTTATTAAACCTCATCCTGTTTACCTCTGACCATTTCTCTAACTTGCTAAGGTCATTTTGAATTATGTCCCTATCCTCCAAAGAAGTTGCAACCCCACCCAGTTTGGTATCATCTGCAAACTTAATAAGCGTACTCTCTATCCCAATATCTACATCATTGATGAAGATATTGAATAGTACGGGTCCCAAAACAGACCCTTGAGGAACTCCACTTGTTATCCCTTTCCAGCAGGATTTAGAACCGTTAACAACAACTCTCTGACTACGGTTATCCAGCCAATTATGCACCCACCTTATCGTGGCCCTATCTAAGTTATATTTGCCTAGTTTATCAATAAGAATATCATGCGAGACCGTATCAAATGCCTTACTAAAGTCTAGGTATATGACATCCACCGCTTCTCCCTTATCCACAAGGCTCGTTATCCTATCAAAGAAAGCTATCTGATTAGTTTGGCATGACTTGTTCTTCATAAACCCATGCTGGCTATTCCCTATCACTTTATTACCTTCCAAGTGTTTGCATATGATTTCCTTAATTACCTGCTCCATTATCTTCCCTGGGACAGACGTTAAACTGACCGGTCTGTAGTTTCCTGGGTTGTTCTTATTCCCCTTTTTATAGATGGGCACAATATTTGCCCTTTTCCAGTCTTCTGGAATCTCCCCTGTCTGCCATGATTTTTCAAAGATCATAGCTAAAGGCTCAGATACCTCCTCTATCAGCTCCTTCAGTATCCTGGGATGCATTTCATCAGGACCTGGTGACTTGCTGACATCTGCGCAACTGTGTATACATATCCTAAAAGTCATTCTGTGTTAATGTTGTTTGTGGGCACTTTATCCAACAAAATATTTCTAGCCCTTGTAAGCAGCCTTTGCTTTGTCAAAAGCAGTGTTAACATTTGCACTTGCTGCGGCAAAACTTTTGTCATTCGGGAAAGAGGGGAAGAGAAATTAAGCATCTATAAACAACAAAGGATTTGTCGATCAATTGCAAGTGTGGATAAGATTTTATTCCTTCCCCGTTTCTGCTGAGTTGCAAATTCAGCTGTTTAGAGGACTACTAGTATACTGATATACTATTTTATTCTTTATTCATTATTAGTATTCTAATTCTTTAAAAATTGGTATTCCATTAGTAAAATATAACTCCCAGTTAACCAGACTATTTGATATACCAACACTCCCAATCCCCCAACATGCCAGATAACAGAGCTTTTACTGTATACAGGTACTCACCAATCCAATAATAGTACTGTACTGCAGAGTGGTTCATTTCTTGAAGCACTGATGTATGTACAAGTGAAGTTTTTTATACAGTAGGTTATCTTATGAAGCTACATATCACTATGGGCAAGCACTAAACACTTAGCACTAAAACTATACTGAACATAATTTAAACATTCTCTGATGATTCAGAAGGCACTTCAGGCTTTCACAGTTCCTCAGGGTCAACATTATCAACATCAATTATCATTTGTAAATGTAGGAGGTGTAAGAGATTGGGCTGAATCTGTAATGACCCTATGACACACCCTGTGACCTGCTTTTTTGAATACATCTCTGATTTCAGATTGCTTACTTGTCTTCTGCCTCTTTTTCATAAAAGTAGACTACAGAATATGCAGTAGCATAATGTGTTGGGCAGTATACCAGTCCTGGTTACTAGACTGAAGATTTGTACAGGGAGATATCAAAAATTATTATTAATTGAGCTTTCTGGTTATTTGAGTGACAGATAATAGAGCTTTTACTGTATTATTACTGGCACTTTTATTATGGTAACCATCAATATTGCCTCTAATATTTTACCATTCATGTGCAGAAAAAAATTATGTGCACTTTGGCATGTGCAAATGTGCACCAACGGTAGAAACAAAAAAACAAATTGAGGGTGCTCTGCTAATGAGTTGGGCAGCATTTGATTATCTTTTGAGTGGCCACACAAGCACACAGCTTACAAGGAACATTAGCAACTACTCCACAGTAGTTTGCTTCACAAACCACAAAATCACAACCACAACCATGGGCATTTCAACCCCAAAATGATTTGCAAATGACTAATAGTTGTCTAACGTTGCCAGATTCCACAGGGTAAAAGCCACCTGTTTCTGCTCTGGTATGTCTTCCCTGAATCAAGTGTTCCAGAGGTTGGGTGTAAGTTCCTCATCCAGCTCCATGAAGGTCTGTTTCCTCAAAAGTTCTGAAGCCACTGTTGGTTGCCTCAGTTTTCCAGAACAAAATGGGCCCACCACATGATGTTGGTCCTCCTGCAGCACTAGTGATGGCCCATACATGGGGTGGCAATAGCAGCGTCCACCATATCTGTATCATGAAAGTTGAGTAGATTGTTAATGACCCTCCACATATCAGCCATATTTGCTGTGCCAGAAGGTTTGATCCAGATTCCATCCAGCATCTCACCAGTCACATATTCCACTGCATAAACATTTGTCCCATGATAAGGACAAGGAGCAGAAGCATCATCCCATTGCTCCATGTCTTCCACTCACTTTGGCAGTGGGAGATGTGATCAGGAATTACCACCGGCAAATGTGTGAAGAGAAGGGACAGTACCAACAACAAACAGCAAAGAAGCTCCTTAGAGTGCCTCTTTCAGGGCATATCTACATGAGGAGATTATTTAGAAATAACTTATTTTGAAATAATTCCTGAAATAACTATTTAGAGATAGCATGTCCACAGTGCAAGGTAGGCTCCTTTAATGTGGCTGCAGTACCTCAACTTAGAGCCCCAAGAAGCACTGGGGAGTAAATTCTATGAATGAATTTGGAGAGTAGTTATTTCAAAATAGCAACAGTGGAGAGTCCACCGATTTCAAAATCAGAGTTATTCCTCGTGGAAATCAGGATTTATTATTTTAAAATAACCAGCCCCTTAATTCGAAATAACAGGTTTGGTAGTATGGACGCTCCACTTGTTATTTTGAAATAACTACCTAGTACAGACCAGGGCTCAGATTCCATACCTGCCCATTAACATTACATAACAGAGACCGTGTGGATGCAGGTATATGAGTGTACATAGCATCACACAGCACATGGATACTGGATGCAAGTATGAGGAAGATGTGCAAGCACGTACTTGGCCAAGTCACCAAGTATGTGTCCCAATGTAGACACAGCCATAAAGGATGTTGTGATGGACCCAGCGAGGTCCCCACTAGCCTCAGGGGGGGGATTCCCCCCCCCCCCCGGGCCAGGAAAGGGATGCCACGGCCAGCAGCGATGGGGCCAACTCCCCGGGGGAGGCGGGGACTGACCCGAGCCGCAGGGAAGCATCCCGCCAGGGCGCAACAACCTGCCCAGGAGGGCGGGGCCCCAGATCTGTGCCGGGGAGAGCTCAGAGGGAAAGACGCAGGGGGGGGCGGGGCTAACCTCCCTGATGTCACTCCCCGGGCACTTTAAAAGTGGCGGCCGGACACCGAGGCAGGGGGGAACGAGGAAGCGGCCACCCTGGCTTCCAGGGGTACCAAGCCTTCTGCTCTCCGGGCGAAGAAGAAGGACAGCCCCAGCAGCCTGCAGATCACGGTTGGACGGACACGGCAGTACTGGCGGGGTGAGTGATCCAGCGGGCGTCCTGCCGAGGGAGCTGGAAGTCGGGGAGTGGAAGGAGCCCGGGGCAGGGCCTTTCTGGTGCCCGTGGGCAGACGAGTTTAGGGCGGCGGTCCCGTCTGCCATGGAGAGCGGCTTGCAGGTGCCGAACTCCACTTAGAGCCCCGGGCTGGGACCTGGAGGAGAGGGCGGGCCTGGGTCCCTCACTCCCCACAACCTGAAAGCACTACCAAATAACTGAGACCCCATCGCGACGAGGGGCCGGGTGAGGACAGGGGTCGCACCCCACTCCCTCGGACACTGAAACACCCGTCCAAAGGATGGGAACGGGGCGCAAGGACGTCGCGGCTCATTGTTGAGCCCAAAAGGCCCCCCCAGTCCTGCGGAAGGGAGGGGGCGATGCGGTGGAGGGTCTGCTGAGCCCCCTCTGACGGCTAGAGCAGGGGGGTGATCGCACCCATCGATCCCACCGACCATAGACCCTGAACAGGGATTTCCCCAATCAAACTCAAGGCGGTGGGTCTGCAGGACGGGGGGGGCCGGGGGCCCCCCCCCCCCCCCCGCTGGGGCGTGGGGGAGTGGCTCGCACCCGTAAACCTGCTACAGATGTCAATATTTCAAAGGAAAAACTTAAAAACAACAAATAGTCTAGTTGCACTTTAAAGGCTAACAAAACATGTAGATGGTATCATGAGCTTTCGTGGGTCCAACTCACTTCTTAAAATGACAGGAGCGTTAGAAGCCTAGATCCAAGAATAAATAAGGGAAGGAGAGAAGGAAAAAAATGGAAGGGAGGAAGAAAAAAAGAGACAGTGAGTAGATAAGCTTCTGAAGGATAGCCAAGTTAGTCTGTAACAGGAAAAACTTAAAAAACAACAAATAGTTTAGTAGCACCTTAAAGACTAAATAGTCACCACAGGCTGATAAGAACCATTAGTTTTCACTTGGAAAGGAAGATGAATAACACCACATTCTACACAGACAGCAAGAATCAACCTGCATTGTTTGGTTGGTTGACAATGTGCGAGCCATCCGATATCCCGATTCATCCAATTTGCCTAAGAATTAAACTTGTGAATGAAGTTAAGTTCCAATCCTTCTCTATGTATTTGGCTTATGGAATTGGTCTGAAACAAAACTGGGACTTGGAGATCCATTGATGAGTGTGTAGGAAGATAAAAGTGTTCTCTGACAGGTTTTTGTGTGTTGCCTTTTTGGATACCTGATTTGTGTCCATTAACTTTTTCCCATGGAGTCTGTCCAGTTTGGCCAATATACATTGCAGTGGGGCATTTCAAAGGTCCATAATTATCTTGAAAGGGAATGGAACTATGGTGACAGAGCTGTCTTAATGGATGGCTATCCTGAAGTCATGGACCTTGGAAGACTTCAAATCATCTGATGCATGAACCTTGAAAGCTGAACCAGGCAGGCAAAGAGGTGGGGAATCAGGTATGTTTTTGATAAAAATTGGTTAGTTTCAGATCCTGGGTTCCATTGGAACTTTGACAAAATGTCTCTGTGAAACGTTCCAATTTTGCTAAACTGGATTATCAGTTAATCAGAATTTTTCCAGTCAGCTCTATCTAGTACCCTCTGAATACATCTCCTTTATCCCCCCTGTAGAGCTAGTCAAAATCTACTTCTCAAACTTTAAGCAGCCTGATCTTTTTCATCTTCACACAAGTCAACCAGCTTGCAGAGGAAAGGTAAATAGTTTCATTACTTTGGTATTTTCTAGTAAATAGATAAAATATTTGCTTTTCATTCATTGTAATAAGTGAAATAAGGAAATAAACACTCTGTTCCTGTAACTAAGGAAATATGAAACAAGTCCAAATGGCTTCTCTCTGTTGAATTTATACAACAGCAACTCTGAGCTCATAAAAGTGTATCACTGTGGAACTTACAAATATGGCTTCATATTTATTACTCTTGCAAAGATAATTTGCAGTTATAAATAATTCATACTCAGCTTTTTTTGTGTATCCAAAACATGGGCCATATAATCCCTTCAGATTTTCCTATGTATACAAAACTTGTTTTTTAAACTCCCTTTGCTCTGTATGGGAAATCCCAGTTATGTCAAAGAGATCTAACATCCATGCAACAAGGAGAGTACACACTCCATGCATATTGCTTTCATTAGTTATGTTTAATTGCATCCCAGATATAGCACTGTTTATGTTAAGTAGTACCTTACTGCATGAGTAATTCAATTTATTTCAATAGTATTACTCTTGAAATGAAGTACTAGTCAACATAAATAGCAATATCTGGTCATTAAAGATTAGAGGTTGCTACAACAAAAATATTTTTAGAAAACAACAGTGCACTTCAAGAAGTGAAGCTATACTGGCTACCTATACTTCTTGGTTATGTGAAAACATATGGCCTCAAATATCATGAGTCTAAATGTATACAAAGTATGGGTCCAGAAAGAAGTGGCTTGGATGCGGTGTGGAACTACATTGTCCCACGAGAAACACTCTCACAGTGTTTTTCAGAATTGTTCAGTGCATGGGAGAACACCCATACTGATGCACCTCGTCGACTGATTCAACAAACTTACTCCCACATCTGCGGGTTGGGACAGAGACTCTCCCTACTCTGTCCCATTTGAGGTATCTGTGATGATCAGATTCCAGACATGCAAGGGAAGAACAAAATTTAAACCTGCAAAATGAGTTAAACCAGTTGATTGCACATGGTATTACTGTGCTATAAATGTGTATTCAATAAGGTCTTTTATGGAAGCTTGTCATGTTCTTAATTTGATATTTATGAGCTATTTATACAGACTGGTTGTGAATCTATGAATTTGTGTACATAGAAAACTGTACTCATCATCTGTTCTACAATTTCAACTGCACCTCACAGCAGGGCAGTAAGCAGTCCAGTAGCAAGAGGTACCTCTCAGAGCAGGCGTTCACACAACATTGGCTTCAAATAACTATCTATTGTTCAGTTCAAAAAAAGACGGTGGACCACTGGAATTAATGGGAACACATCAAGACATTTCCAGTTTTCAAGTCATGCTCAAAGAAAAAGCTTTTTAAATGTAGATTTGGGAGTGAGGCTTTTTACACAGGATTTGAAGGATGCTCTGATGTCAGGAGGCTTTCCATGACACCTGGTCCTTCCCCCAGATAGGGCGTATGCTGAAAAATTGTCTTAAAGCATTAGGTGACCTTGCATTAGTGAAGTGATTTTATCTAATATGAAAAGGGTAAAGCCTGAGTTTGCACTTAATTTTATGTTTCTTTTCTGTGTAACTTGTATGTGTTTGCTTTCCCTTACTATTTCATCTTTGAATCTGTGGTTTACCTCTTAAACTTTTTTTTTTTTTTAATTTTGAACTTAAGCAAGTCTCTGGTGCGCGAACTGTGCAAGTATGTGCATTAAAGTTAGTTGGCACTTGAGCTGATGTCGCACCTGTAGTGGTGGTGTGCCAGACGGAAACAGTCCAAGTGTCTGGAACTTAAGAGCTTGAGGAACATGGATTTGGGGACACTCAGGACTGGAAGGGCTTTTGGTGTGACCCTGCAAGAAGAAACTAGTTTAGAGCAAGCCAAGGTGAAACCTTGTGCTTGTGGACAGGCTACTGGTGTCAGGGAACTGAACCATTGTTGCACAGCACTAAGTTACAGGTCAGGTGATGACAGAAGCCTTTAATAGTCTACTGACCCTCTGAATGTCACAATACCAGTCACACCATGGCAACTAATTAGGGAACAGTCCGTTCACCTCTAACTGCAGTATTGCCTAGTCAATTCATGAGCTGTACTTTGAGGCTTCTTACTCTTTGTCCTCTCACTCTCTCACAAACTGCCTGCCAATGTAAGGGCTAGGCAGAATGTACCTGGTACCAATTTACTGAGGTGCTGAAAGAATCATGAGCATGTTTGTTGCTATGGTTGTGTGGCAAACCTATAATCTACAATTACATGGTACAAATCCAACTTAAAATGTGTGCATCACCTAAATAAGAGAGCCAATAATTTGACAATTTCAATTAGAATATGTAAATTGTTTCTCACCTGCCATTACTAAGTTATTCACAGATCATTCATGATGAGGGAATGTGATGCTATTAAAAGAAATGAGGATAAAAGAGAAGTGGATTAATAAGTAAATACTAATAACTTCACACACGTTTTCTACCAAGGGGGGAAAGAATAAATACAAAACATGACCCTTACCCCCAAATAATGCATAATACAAATTTCAGCATTTAAGATATTTAAATACAAGGAAATCCTTTCTTCTATAATGGTTTGCGGCAGGATATTTCCAACTTTAGGTGTTGGATTGCTGAGCCAAGTATTAACTGATTCTGCTATGAAATTCTACTAGATTGGTATGATCAGTGGGTATTGGGGAAAAACACAGTAGATGTTTATTTATTAAGTAGAGGATCCCAGCTGATAAGGATTCTATCTAAATAAAGTATTGACTTTGGCAGATTTATGGAATAACAGTTTAGAAACATTTATTTGTTAAAATTGGAAGGAGACCCCTAATAAATGATGATCTGTCTCCTTTCATCATCAGGATTTTTTTTTTTTTGCAGGATTCTAAACTCGCATAATTCTAATCTGTCTGCAGTAGGGCTCAACCCTGGGACCCAACATCACCTGCCTAGAGCAGCCGAGGTGGGCAGTAGGCAGATACACATATATAAGGAGGAACATGCACCCAAATTGTGGAGCAATGTAAGAGTCACCAAAGGAGACTGCTATAGCCAATGGATGAAGTAGCCTCTGCACCTCTTTACAGGCTTTCCCAATTTGTTGGGGTTAGGACAGAAAGATCTGCAAAGCAAATCTTTGGGATCTAACCCCCTGCATGGCCCTCACCTGAACTCTCCCTTCCCCGAGTAGCAGCAAACTAGGGAAGATAACTAGCAAGGAATTTACTAGTTGAGTAGTTGATGGAATTTCCAAGTTGACAAATACTTTCACATTCTGTCTTTGAAATGTAAATGAAATCAGCTGGGGACTCCCCAGCAGACCCCAGGCTCCCTGTGGCGTGCCAGCTTTGAAAGGCACAAGAGTCACCAGCAGGGGGTTTTATGCATTTCAAAGCAGAAGTGCCCACATGGAGCCTGGAGCCAGTGGGGTCTCAGAGTCCCACACTGGCCCCAGGCTCCATGCTGTGCTTCCTCTTTAAAATGCATAAGAGCCCCTGCTGCGGACTCTTGTGCCTTTCAAAGCTGGCAGGCCACATGGAGCCCGGGGCCAGTTGGGGAGTCCCCAGCTGATCCCAGGCTCCACCTGGCATTTCAAAGCTGCAGCACCGCTTGGATCCCGGGATCAGCTCTCTCCAGCTGACCCCAGGCTCCATGTGGCACTGATGCTTTTAAGTACCTCCCCATCTTCTCCCCCTCCCTTGCTGCTTCTATCTGATAGAGGCAGCAAGGGGGAGGGAGTGACTAGTTGACTATTCTGTTGACGATCTGATAAGCATTTGCTTATTCAATAGTCAACTAGTTGACTGATCCTTTACATCCCTACTGCAAATGGTGAACCATGGCCATGACGGTAGAGTCATTAAATAAAGAAAGTGGGGCCATGGCCCACTTTGAGAAGCATTGAATTAAATATAAAAAGTATGACTTAAGTGGTTGAAAGTGATAACAAACAGATCAAAGTAAATTAATAAGCTAAACAAAACAAAGCATACCAACTAAACATACTACTCTAAAAAACGTATTATGTGCCATTTCTTATCCAACAGAAGTTTCAATTATCTTTACTCACAAACTAGGCAGCCTCTTATCTTGGGCCAGATCCTTCCTCTTCTTCAGTCTTAGATGTTTCCAGCAATCATCTGGATGTTAAGAAGGAAGTGTCCTCATATCTGGCAACTATTTCTATTGATTGGTTTCCTGCCTACAAATAGATTTTGCACAAGGCAGGAATCATTTGTATTCAGTTTCAATGATTTACACAGATAAGTATTACATCAAAAATGGATTCCAGCATCAGATGACCTGGGCCACATATCTCAGCAGGACTAACCATAGTTTAGGCTTACAGGAAAAGCAATATTATTCACAGATCATTGACATGGGTACCAGGCAATTTAGTTCCTTGGGTACCACTAATGCCCTTCATTAGCTAGTCTAGATATATAAACTGGGTTCTACTTCATATTTCTAACATCAAATATAGGAATTATACATGCACACAAATGGAATGTACATTCAATGAATTACAAACTCTCCAATGACAGATTACATGCCACATTTTGTATAAAGCATATGTGAGTTAGGCAAATTCATATTCAAAAATATATTTCCCTA